CCGTAGGCAGAGAGAGGGAAGAGGACAACAAACGAGGGGCTGTGACAAACTGTTTCGTCGGAGTTTCACCGACTCATCAGGAGGCTGAACCCTAACAGTCTGTAGAATCCCCTCACTGATTACACTGTAAATGATAATCTACCTTAACCAAAATCAAAGTAGACTATCATTATATATATATATATATATATATATATATAGATAGATAGATAGATAGATAGAGAGAGAGAGAGAGAGGGTACTTCCATCGATAGGATGAGCAAAATTGAATGGATCTCCTGCTAGAACATGGAAATATACACCGCCACGCCACCTCTCCCCCCTCCCTCCCCGCGATTCAACCCCCCCATGTCCCCTGTCCCCCTCCCTCCCCCGACTTCTTTCCACCAACTTTCGTCCGCCGACCTCCCTTCCCCGACTTCCCTCCCCATCTCGACTTCCCTGGCCGACTTCCCTGCCCTGACTTCCCTGCACCGACTTCGCTGCCCCGACTTCCCTCCGCCGAGTCGCCGACCTCCATTCCCCGACTCCCCTCCGCCGACCCCCCTTCCCATCCCGACTTCCCTCCCTGCACTGACCCCCCTCCCACGACTTGCCTTCTCATCTCGACTCCCCTCCCTCCCCCGACGTCCCTACTCCGACGTCCCTACTCCGACGTCCCTACTCCAATGTCCCTACTCCGACCTCCCTCCGCAAACCTCCCTCCCCAGACCTCCCTTCGTCAACTTCCTTCCGCATCCCAGCATCCCTCCCCCTACTTCCCTCCATCGATCCCCACCTCTCTCCCCGATCCCGACTTCCCTCCATCGACCCACACCTCTCCCCCGATCCCGGCTTCCCTCCACCAATCCCCACCTCTCTCCCCCGATCCTGACTCCCTCCTCCACCTCCCTCCCCCGACCTCCGTCCGGCGACTTCCCTCCCCATCCTGGCTTCCTTCCCCCCACTTCCCCCCATCGATCCCCACCTCTGTCCCCGGATCCCAACTTCCCTCTCCGATCCCATTTCTCCATCCCAACCTCTACTTCCCCCGATTGCAACCTCCCTGCCCTGACAGCTCTTCCTCCTCCTCCTCCCGCTGCTCCTCCTGCTCTTCCCCCTTTCCTCCTCCCGCTTGTCCCGCGGGCCGCGCCCTCATCCGCCGGC